GAGAAGCAGACAGCATTCGAGCACAGCTATAAAATAGTTGAGAGGGATTATACCCTAAAAATACCTTTTCACGCTGCTGAGTACACGTGGAGCTTATATGACTAGATGAGATGTCAGAAGTAAACATAAGCTTAAACATGGTATTTGCTATATCCCTTTGTGTCCATTTGCACAACAGCAATCTCCAGGTGGATTTTTTTTAAGTCAAAATATTTATATCAGTTATCTATAAGACATTTTTCTGTCAGAGTTCAGCTTTTAACTGTAGTAAAACTTAATACAAGTAAAATAAAAGGAACCGCCCCCATCATTTACCCTGACCTCACTGAGGCAGCAGTAGGCTTTGAACTGAGATACCAACATCAAGTGAGTCTTCCTTCTGTCTGAACTCGTTTCCCTCCCTCTTGAATTTTTAAGATTTATAGAAAAATGAAATCTTAATTTTGTTTATATAGATTCCAGGCTCTCACAGGACTGCTGTAGTGATCTGCTCTTAGAAACTTTCAGTTGATGATTGCTACTCAATATCTGTGAACTGCATTGGTGTACCATCTTTTCAAATGTACATAAATTTGATTTTGGCTTTTATCTTCCAAATTCTTACATGGCATATTGAAAGCTACCACAAGTTGAAATCTGGCTCCTGAAATGACCTTCTATTTCTATGCATTCTTATGTACGGATTAATAGCAGTCAAAATGGCTTTGAGAGTGAATTTATTCTAAAAATAAACATAACTAATCTTCTTCTTGGTAAACCAATGATTACTCACCTAAGGATGCCAAAACACCTCTGCCAAAAAGAATCACTTTGCATCCAAATTAGTAATTATATAAACTAGGTCTTTTCCAATTTGTAAATATTGAAATGTCCAGGATGTCTAAATGAAGAAGACAGTGTGAGATATACTTCCTGTGGTTCAGTAATGCACCTTGTGCTGGAATCCAGGCTCCAGCAAAAATATTAAAAGGACTCCATGAATTTCAGTGAGGCCAGATTTGTAGCATAGAAACACTTGGAAATGGTGAGATTCTGTTATAATTATTCCTGTGAAGTTACCATCTTACTCCTCAAATCATGCCTGTAACTGAAATGAGACTGGTCAGAGAGTAAAATATTAATTCAACCTCAATGCCTACAAAAAGTTGTCCCATTTAGAAAATAATAGTCAACCTATAAGTAACAAGTATGTTCTAACTTCAGTTTGATTGAATTTTGAGGTGACGAGGATTTATTTTTTTACTGGAAATACTGTTTGAGACAATTCCCTTGTGTGAGTAATTGACACTGACCCCTCATCAAAATAGTGAAATCTTAGTTGTCTGTAAACTCTTTTTACACATGAAAAGGCAGTGGCTGTAGTAAAATTACCTTCTGTCCACTGAAAAACAGCAGCTCCTGTGTTGCTCTCCATTATAAACCAAACTGTAGCAACCCGTACATTAAATGTACTGGGAAACTACTAAATGTGCAAGGGGAAACTAGTATTTCCCGTTGCAGACAATTGCCATAACATTTGTTTGTACTTTTTTCTTTTAAAGCAGTCAAAACATAATCCACTGGAAAGTTTCCTAACAACTTTTTTAAAAGGCTGTAATGCCAAGCAGTCAGAAGTTGGGAAACAGGAGAATTAAGGCTGCAAGTGCTTCTTTGTGCACGTGGAGTGTTACAGTTCTTTGTGCAGATGACTTGAATTCTCCAGCATTGCTTTTAGTTTTTGAACAAATAATTGTGTAACTTTAATAACATGTTTTAACAGAGTTATTTTGGCAACTGTTATGTAAAAATATTTGTGCAGTGCTGTAGAGCAGAGTCCCCCCCAGCCTGTTTTTCACACCATATTCCTTCAGCTTTATGGAGATGCTAAATGAGCTTCAGTCATTGTCCTGTAACGGTTGAAAGTAGCAGAGGGATGGCACAAGTGTTTAATCTGTTGTCTGTGCAGTCTCTACTTGTACAGCCAAATATTCTCGAAATTAGAAGTCTGTTCTTTAAACAATCCCATGGAAATCCCCTTCACTTTTAAATACATTTTAGTGTATTTTTTCATCCTTTTTTTTTTCTAGAAGTTTCAGCACTAAACTTTTCAGATATCAGATACTTGCAGAATGGTTTTGTCACAGGTTTAGAAATGAAAATGCACGTCTCCAAAGTCCAGCTGGTAGCTTATAGCTATGTACAGTCTTTAGATTTTTTCTTTATATCAGGAAAGTTTAAATAAATAACATACTTGAGATAGTGATAAGTTCCAGCACACCTGCCAGTTTTGAATGCTTGTCACTTTTGGTGGAAAAGTTAAATATCTCTAAATGTGAATTAAGATACTTCATAAATCGTGACTGAGAGAACTCTGCAATGGTACAGATTAAACATTTGGGTGCACCTTGTATTAAGACACTTGACAATTAATCTTCGGCTTTATGAATTTCAAATAAACACATTTTTTCTCGGTGATCAAGATTATTTTTAAATGTTCCCAAGGTACCTCTGCCCAGCTGTTACTCTGCTCATGCTTTCCTTAATCATCATTACAGCAAGGACAGCAAGAAACAGCTGTAACCAATGCATATCTCATTATCTTTACTTGGCAGGCAAAGCGTGCATCATATTTCATACCTCCCACCCTTTGCTGAAATATATAAGCTATCTGTTATTTTTCATTCCTCTTGTATCTGACTCACGTAAAATCGTTACTAAAGCTAAAGATTAAGCAATTTGAAAGAAGTGTGGTAGATTTGTCTTCAAGAACATAGAGAACAATACAATAGACAAACAGCGGAACCTGGTCAAGTTAATCTTAGATGACCCTCAGGCCAGATGAATTCAGGGCCTGGACTAAAACAAGCCAAGATTCGTCAGGCCAGTGACTTCGTTAGGCTTTGCAGTAAGATTTGAGGCTTGTTTCACACTAGCTACTGAACACTCTTTCTTTTCCCTCCATGCAGCAAGGGCTACACAGATGTAGTGAAAATCCCAGAAGGGGCAACCCACATCAAAGTTCGGCAGTTCAAGACTAAGGACCAGAGCAGGTTCACTGCCTACCTGGCCCTGAAAAAGAAAAACGGTGAGTACCTTGTCAATGGAAAATACATGATCTCCACTTCAGAAACAATCATTGACATCAACGGGACTGTCATGAACTACAGCGGCTGGAGTCACAAAGATGATTTCTTGCACGCCATGGGACACTCTGCCACAAAAGAGGTGCTTATTGTGCAGATACTCGCGACCGATCCAACTCAGCCAGTGGACGTCCGCTACAGTTTCTTCGTGCCAAAGAAGCAAGGGCAAATGACTAACTCTGTCACCAGCAGTGGCAGCAGCAGCAGCAAAGTAACTCCACAGCTCACGCAACCCCGCTGGGTTACGGGGCCGTGGCTTTCTTGTTCTCGAACGTGCGACACAGGATGGCACACCAGGACTGTCCAGTGCAAAGACGGGCATGGAAAATTGGCCAAGGGATGTCTTCTCTCTCAGAGACCGTCAGCATTTAAACAGTGCTTGTTGAAAAAGTGTTAACCTGTGGTTGTGATCTTCTTGAAAAGAGGTTTGATTAAGCCATTGTTGACATACTGGTATTAGGTCTGCCCAGACAGAGAGAAGCAAAGGCTTCAATGTACTTACATACAGTCTCAAATTATGGGCAGAATCTGCCTATTTGGACCAAATGAAGATGTGCACTGCTTTAAATAATAGTAGGGTGATCTTAATATGTCAAAAAAACTAAGCATTAAAGTTGTTATAAGCCCTCTGTGTCTGCAAAAATATAAAATAAAATAATGCAAAGGAAGACAAAACTATTGAATGGAGGATCCTGGGATATTTGAAGGTTACAGAATCATCTCCCCTTTTTCACCTACCTCTAATACGGTATGTCCTTAGAAAACGTCACATGTACCCACGACACCACAGTAGCTTATTTTATACTGTTTTGTAAATATCTTTCATTTGGTATGTCACTTTATAGCACTTGGTTCTGTTAAAAAGTCAAAAGACAAACTACATAAGCAAAGTGGTTGACCAAAGTGTACCTGTAGCCCTTGTGGACTTGGTCCATTCTTCAGAAAGGGCTGCAGATGTTTTACTGGAAAATGAAGAGCTTGCTGCTGGTTTTAAAAAGTAATACCTTTTGGTTTTGACAAAAGGAAATGCATTTTCATGCTAGGAATTTCCTGACAACAGATCATTATTCTATGACAGATACTGTGTTTCCACCAAGAAGTTCTCAGAAGGAGCATTGCAGCAGCTTGCAGACCAGGGATCCCCACATGTACATTGCTCAAATAGCAGCGCCACCAGCGACTCCTCGCCTTGTGTACATCAGACACACACAGAAGGAGGATTTGGCTGCTAGGAGGAATTTGTGTACGCTTTGCATGTAAACCTTCCACTAGTTCCCGCTGTGTCACAGCTTGGGGTCCTTGTTGTCGGTGAACAATAGCTGCCAGCTGCTTCTTTCCATAAAACAAAGGCATACTGTATTTTGTAGAAACTAGTTAGAGAACCAAAAATCACCGGTAAGATAATCAAGTGTCTTCTAACTCAGATATTCTGAGGCTGTGTTCAACTGCTTTCTCTGTTGTTTTCTCTATGGCTTCCACCTTGAATCTTAACAATGTGTAATGTACCTACATCTGCTGAAGCGGCTATAAAGGTCAAAAAAACACAGCAAGCAGTTAATATTTTATCACTGTTTTGTCCATCGTGTCTAACTCTGGTATTCATCTTACCAGCAAAAGTTTGTAACTATTTGTCTTTTTTGATTGTCTTGTGTGTGTTTTGGGGTTTTTTTTAAAGCTATGGAAGGCATTCATGTTTTGTGTGTCTAATGCGTTTGGGAGGAAGAGGGGTCACTAGGAAGTCAGACCACATCAGGATGTGGAGGACTTGCCCAGTACCAGTAAGACTGTTTCCACAGTACAGGCAGTAGCTGGTAATGGTTTTCATTGGCAGCAACTTCTGAATCCCAGTATTGTCTGGCAGAAGTTCTGTGAGCGAGGATGGGCATTCCACCTTCCGCAGGTAACAGGTGGAGGCCTGACAGCAACCCTGTTGGAATTGCTTCTTTTTATGTCAGCGGGCTTTCCATTAAGCCCTAGGACAACAGGTGCTGAAAGAAAGGGTCACAATACGCTAATGAAAATAGAATCCCATCTGTCTTTTATTCCTCCGTTCGTCTACATAGGAGAGTGTGAGACTGCAGGAGGATTTTCAGACAAGCCTCACAGCTGTCAGTCAGTGGTACTCGAGCACTGAAGTACCCCCGGCTCTTCTGAAAGTCCCAGTCGTGAAATCAGTAGAGAAAAGTTGTTGGTGTGTGTAGCAAGGGCAGGTCTCGCTCCAGGCTGACACAAACGTGTTTTTGCAACTGTGGCATGTTTGTATGAACTCTAAGAAAGCATGTGATGATTTCAAAACAGCGTGGAGTTGCTACATCCACAAGTATGAAACTCGGAGAAGTATCTATTTTTGTACCCTGTTGTAAATAAGCAGTAACAGGGGCAGGGCCTCCTTCTCTGTGAAAATGAATTACCAAGGAACGTTACAAGTCCTCTTCAGCTTTCAAAAATGGTGTGGCCTTCTTATTAGGAGTAGTCCTATGCAAAACTGAGGATCTTGAAGAAAATTCCCCACTTCCTTAATCTGCGATCCCACCCTAAGAAGTGCGAGCGAGGCTCTGAATGTTTGCAGAGTTCTGGAAAGTTAATATTTATGCCTTTTCGAGTTCTGGAAAGTTGATATTTATGCCTTTTCTACCTATTAACAGAAGATCACTTTGAAGTGTCTTATTTTCCTTTCAATAATCTAATTTTTATACTTATATATGTATTACACATCTTCTAGAACCTCCCCAGAAAGTTCGTAACAAGTAGAAACCATCATGAGAGGAAAAGTAAGGAGGCTTAATGTGTCTCAGTGTAGACTTGACATTTGCCTCTGCATACAGCTGCTGTATTAAGTGGCATTTGTTTTTCCTGTGTTTTATCATAATAGAGAGAGAATGTGCAAGTATTTGTGTTCGCACCATAGTAATAATTTATTATATATTCAACAGGATGTGTAAAGTTTTTGGATGCTGTTCAGGCTCCAGAAGAGTAATACCATATGCGGGTATAAATTTAAAGCTTCCTTAGATCAAGAGTATCTTTTTCATAGAAGAAGTTTATTTATAAAAAATAAGTAAGTAGGAGAACAAACCACTGTAGAGATTTTTCCCTTCTCGCTAGTGTAGTAATGAAGCAAAGCAGCGTAAGCAAAAAGCAGTTGCCTTTATACAGTGAGAGGGCAAAGGGGACAGACCAAGGAAGCAACCCTGAAAGTGTACGATAGACTAGGTCAACCTGCTCTGGCTAACGTTTGCTTTTTAGCTATTCGTTGTAATCAGACTCCAGTTCCAAACCTTACTTTTGTCAGTCATAGCTATCTCGTGTAGCTGATGAATGAAAAATTGGTGCAAGGTATGTGAATGTTATTTCAGCTTCTGTTCTCAACGAAATTCCTTGTCTCTCACACTGCTGTGTCATTGTTTACATTACTACCGAGTGTTGACAAGCAGGATTCATAAAGTGCATCTAGGGGATAGAAACCTGGAGTATTGCTCTTTGCATAGAGATCAGCAATCCTCCCTGTTAAATTCACTGCTGACTTTTTGGGACACATCTCCAGTGCCCTTAGGTGGAGTTGGACCTCTAAGCATCAGTGCTTTTTAGAGCATGTGCTTCTCAGATAAGACATTCTGACTAGGAAAAAGCCTACCATCTTTGTTTTGACTGTATACAAGAAATTAAATTTAGCTGCCCGCCTGTGGAAACAGTTTTATCACAAGGGGGAGAGGGAATAATCTTGTGGATTAATCACAATTGTAAAAAAAAGCAAAAAAAAAAAAAAGGGCAACACAGCTCTGAAAAAAATAAAATAATTTATTGTTTTTACAACTGGTATGTGAATGGATGTAACGAATTTATTTATTCTTATTTAACAAAAATACCAATTGTGCAAATTCTATATTTAAAATGTTTTGCTGTCATCTCTGTCTCTCTTTCTCGCTCTCTATTAATTTATGCTTCGAATTTATGTTGAAAGTATGCCTTGTGAGTTTACATAATGTATGGCACTGGTTATTTTTTGTATGTTTTTATTTAGAAAGCTTTCTGCATGGAACAGGAGTATATGTGTATACATGTGTGCGCACTGTATAGATGTATATTCTTTTTCTGCTACCATCTATTTCTTAGAGAAGTTGTAGATTTTTAATATTTGTGACACCTCAGGCTCAAAACTCCTTGTTACACTTCACTTCTAAAATCTCTCGATGAGCAAGTCATAAAGGTCTGTGAACGGAAAAAGCCCATACCAGCTCCGAAAGCAGTCAGACGACAGACTCGCTTTGCAGAGGTGCGCACAGTTCACGCCATGTGCCTCAGTGCTTCGCCACTGGAGCTGGCTGGGGTCTTACCCTGTTCTGCAACGGGAGCAGGTCCAGGCTTGTAGTAAATACGAGTCCTTTATATGTGAATGAAGTTTCTCTGAGTTGTCAGGGTGGCAAGTGAGTCTCCTCTCATGCAGCTTCTTATGTTTAAGTGAAAACACTACAGTGTGCCTCTTTAAAAATATAGCTGAAACAATGTTGGATTTGGTTTAGGAAGACTGAACCATTAAAAAAGCTACTTTCCATCTTTCCACTGTTTAAATACATACATAAATATGTATATTTGTCCATGAATAGTCAAAAGCCCCATTTGGAAGTAATTGCGATGTTTTACTTCATTGTATTCTTGCTCTTTGCGCTACATCAGGCAAAGGTAGATGCAAAAAAGCCAGCAAAGCATGCGTTCCCAGTGTTTCCTTGAAAGTCCGCAGTATCTGTTTGATTCCACTTTTCATCCAGTCCAACTACTGCTGAAGTCAAGGGAACTTGTATTGGGTCCAGCGTCAGGAAAAAAAACGCGACGTAGACAAACCTACAGCTTTTCTGCAGTCATTTTATTTGACAAATGACTTCTGTCGCCACTCCGCCGTAAGGGCAGTACTGCAGACTGCAAGCGATCTGTTTCACACTGTTGGAAGCTACCTTGCCGGTCAGTGCCCACGTTCACACCAGCTGGATTCCAGCTCAGCCCCTCAGCCCAGTGCCTGCTGCCGCCCAGGCACTCCCCCTGACCCCGAGCCAGCCCCAAGACTTTAGCTGAAACTCTGATGGCCGGTGAGTGACTGTTCCTCACTTGAGGCCCACTCCAGAATGCCAGGAAGTTTCTGCAGGCCTTGACGCTGACGATCTTTCGGGCAGGCTTCAAACGGGATTTGTAAGGATGAAGCATGAACAGTTGTGGGGTTTCAGCAGTACGTTCAGGCGAGCGTTTCTCCTCGTGCTAATGAATGCCATGCTGGTCTGTGTCACGAGGGAAGATGGAGCCTATAGCAAGAGCCAAAATTAAATGCTCTGAGCATGGGCTGCAACTTTCAGGAAAAAAGTTGCTGGTTTGGAGGGGTTTGTTCCTCTTTTTAATTATGTGATTAGTTTTTACAGGGTTGCCAGAGTGCATCCTTGCATTCGTACTTGTCTTTGGTAACATTTTCAAGAGGGTTTTTTACTGTAGGTACACTGATACTAGCTTGTATAGTAAAACCAGTTCAACATTCTTGTTCTGAATAATGTTGCAAATGCAGGTACTTGTGGTTTGTCGTATGTACTGGTGATAACTCCTAAGAGAAATCGTCAGGTCCTCAGCTGGCACCACAAAATGTAGCTTTGGGGTTTTATTACAAATGCAAGTTTTCAGTGATAGCATGCAAAATTTGAAATGCCCCAAGCATATTTGTAGTCCTCCAGATGAGTGGTGTAAGAGCTTCCCTCCAGACACAGCGTACCAAGCATCCTGACACTTCCCCGCTGCTCTGCACGCTGCAGCAGAGCTGCAGGGCGAAAACAAAACTCACAATGTCGTTTGCCCTGAAAGTTGCCCGTAGAGGCTCACGCTCACTGCAAGGACACTGAAAGCATTTCCTTGTACATCAGCCTGGCGTAGTCCGCGTTGACACACGTATGTGGGCACAGGTAGAACTTCACCGTGGCTAAACACAAATGCGTATTTTTGTGTGTGTATGTGCATACTTGTGTATATATAAACACGTATGTGTACGTATATACACAAATGACTCTTTGGGTCTCCATTACTCCCACTCACAGGGCAAAAGAGTTACACGGGTTTTAGTTACAGCTAGGTAAATTCAGAGTGACTTCATTACATCAGTTGGCTTTGCAGGAGCTGCTTCAGACTTATACCACTGTAAGTGACAGCGTAATTTGTCCTTTAATTTATAGGAACTGGTTTACACAATTTATCATATGAACTGTGAAATTTTCAGATAGTTTATCGTCTGAAACAGTGACAGTCAAGCATATATACATTGTTAAAATCCCATCAGATAACAGCAAATACACTGAATTCAAGTAAGTTGGAGACAGCATAATACTCTTCTATAGCAATAAATCCATTTGATTTCTATTGCCAGGTCATCTGCCTAGCATCAGATAAGATAAAACGAGAGAGGTATCGTAGGGAAGACTAACAGGAAAGCACAATATTTGGGTTTGCTTAGTTTATTTCATGTGCCTCTTTACACACTCTATGGGTGTCAGCGTATGCTGGAAAGTGTCACTTTGCATTAGAGATAACTTGGCTGAAATACCAGTACCCATTGAGAAACCGAGATGTGTCACAAAACTTTTTTTCATACTAGTATGTGTCTAATGGAAGAGAGTTAACATTTTTAGAGCACTACTATGTCAGCCGGTTTACACATAAATAATATGTTAAGCAAAATATAAATTCATCTGAACTGAATTGTACAAGGTCTACACTGTACTATGACACATTGAAGGCCAATATTTTTTGTAAACTATTACATATGTATAATTTACCAGTTGTAATCTTAAACACTTGATTCTGTGATTTCAGTAAAAGTAATAAATACAAACTGTATCATAGGTCCAAAATACTTGTTCTATATGGTATATTTGT